AAGCAGATATGGGTATATCTACTTAATGAAACATAAGTCTGAAATGTTTGAAAAGTTCAAAGAATTTCAGAGTGAAGTTGAAAATCATCGTAACAAGAAAATAAAGTTTCTACGATCTGATCATGGAGGAGAATATTTGAGTTACGAGTTTGGTGTACATTTGAAACAATGCGGAATAGTTTCGCAACTCACGCCACCCGGAACACCACAGCGTAATGGTGTGTCCGAACATCGTAATCGTACTTTACTAGATATGGTGCGATTTATGATGTCTCTTACTGATTTACCGCTATTGTTTTGGGGTTATGCTTTGGAGACGGCCGCATTCACGTTAAATAGGGCACCATCAAAATCCGTTGAGACGACGCCTTATGAACTAGGGTTTGGCAAGAAACCAAAGTTGTCGTTTCTGAAAGTTTGGGGCTACGATGCTTATGTGAAAAAGCTTCAACCTGATAAGCTCGAACCCAAATCGGAGAAATGTGTCTTCATAGGACATCCAAAGGAGACTATTGGATACACCTTCTATCACAGATCTGAAGGCAAGACTTTTGTTGCTAAGTTCGGAAACTTTTTGGAGAAGGAGTTTATCTCGAAAGAAGTGAGTGGGAGGAAAGTAGAACTTGACGAGGTAACTGTACCTGCTCCCTTATTGGAAAGTAGTGCATCACAGAAAACTGTTTCTGTGACACCTACACCAATTAGTGAGGAAGCTAATGATAATGATCATGAAGCTTTAGAACAAGATACTACTGAACCTCGTAGATCAACCAGAGTGAGATCCGCACCAGAGTGGTACGGTAATCCTGTTCTGGAAGTCATGCTACTAGATCATGATGAACCTACGAACTATGAAGAAGCGATGGTGAGCCCAGATTCCACAAAATGGCTTGAAGCCATGAAATCTGAGATGGGATCCATGTATGAGAACAAAGTGTGGACTTTGGTTGACTTGCCCAATGATCGGCAAGCAATTGAGAATAAATGGATCTTCAAGAAGAAGACTGACGCTGGCGGTAATATTACTGTCTACAAAGCTTGACTTGTCGCAAAAGGGTTTTGGCAAGTTCAACGGGTTGACTACGATGAGACCTTCTCACCCGTAGCGATGCTTAAGTCTGTCCGAATCATGTTAGCAATTGCCGCATTTTATGAGTATGAAATTTGGCAGATGGATGTCAAAACTGCATTCCTGAATGGATTTCTGGAAGAAGAGTTGTATATGATGCAACCGGAAGGTTTTATCGATCCAAAGGGAGCTAACAAAGTGTGCAAGCTCCAGCGATCCATTTATGGACTGGTGCAAGCCTCTCGGAGTTGGAATAAACGCTTTGATAGTGTGATCAAAGCATTTGGTTTTATACAGACTTTTGGAGAAGCCTGTATTTACAAGAAAGTGAGTGGGAGCTCTATAGCATTTCTGATATTATATGTGGATGACATATTACTGATTGGAAATGATGTAGAATTTCTGGATAGCATAAAGGGATACTTGAATAAGAGTTTTTCAATGAAAGACCTCGGTAAAGCTGCTTACATATTAGGCATAAAGATCTATAGAGATAGATCAAGACATTTAATTGGACTTTCACAAAGCACATACCTTGACAAGATTTTGAAGAAGTTCAAAATGGATCAAGCAAAGAAAGGGTTCTTGCCTGTGTTACAAGGTGTGAAGTTGAGTCAGACTCAATGCCCGACCACTGCAGAAGATAGAGAGAAAATGAAAGATGTTCCCTATGCTTCAGCCATAGGCTCTATCATGTATGCAATGCTGTGTACCAGACCTGATGTGTGCCTTGCTATAAGTCTAGCAGGGAGGTACCAAAGTAATCCAGGAGTGGATCACTGGATAGCGGTCAAGAACATCCTGAAGTACCTGAAAAGGACTAAGGATATGTTTCTCGTATATGGAGGTGACAAAGAGCTAATCGTAAACGGTTACGTTGATGCAAGCTTTGACACTGATCCGGACGATTCTAAATCGCAAACCGGATACGTGTTTACATTAAACGGTGGAGCTGTCAGTTGGTGCAGTTCTAAATAGAGCGTCGTGGCGGGATTTACGTGTGAAGCGGAATACATAGCTGCTTCGGAAGCAGCAAATGAAGGAGTCTGGATGAAGGAGTTCATATCCGATCTAGGTGTCATACCTAGTGCATCGGGTCCAATGAAAATCTTTTGTGACAATACTGGTGCAATTGCCTTGGCAAAGGAATCCAGATTTCACAAGAGAACCAAGCCCATCAAGAGACGCTTCAATTCCATCCGGGATCTAGTCCAGGTGGGAGACATAGAGATTTGCAAGATACATACGGATCTGAATGTTGCAGACCCGTTGACTAAGCCTCTTCCACGAGCAAAACATGATCAGCACCAAGGCTCCATGGGTGTTAGAATCATTACTGTGTAATCTAGATTATTGACTCTAGTGCAAGTGGGAGACTGAAGGAAATATGCCCTAGAGGCAATAATAAAGTTATTATTTATTTCCTTATATCATGATAAAAGTTTATTATTCATGCTAGAATTGTATTAACCGGAAACATAATACATGTGTGAATACATAGACAAACAAAGTGTCACTAGTATGCCTCTACTTGACTAGCTCGTTAATCACAGATGGTTATGTTTCCTAACCATGGACAAAGAGTTGTTATTTGATTAACGGGATCACATCATTAGTTGAATGATCTGATTGACATGACCCATTCCATTAGCTTAGCACCCGATCGTTTGGTATGTTGCTATTGCTTTCTTCATGACTTATACATGTTCCTATGAATATGAGATTATGCAACTCCCGTTTGCCAGAGGAACACTTTGTGTGCTACCAAACGTCACAACGTAACTGGGTGATTATAAAGGAGCTCTACAGGTGTCTCCAAAGGTACATGTTGGGTTGGCATATTTCGAGATTAGGATTTGTCACTCCAATTGTCGGAGAGGTATCTCTAGGCCCTCTCGGTAATGCACATCACTTAAGCCTTGCAAGCATTGCAACTAATGAGTTAGTTGCGGGATGATGTATTACATAACGAGTAAAGAGACTTGCCGGTAACGAGATTGAACTAGGTATGGGATACCGACGATCGAATCTCGGGCAAGTAACATACCGATGACAAAGGGAACAACGTATGTTGTTATGCGGTCTGACCGATAAAAGATCTTCGTAGAATATGTAGGAGCCAATATGAGCATCCAGGTTCCGCTATTGTTTATTGACCGGAGACGTGTCTCGGTCATGTCTACATTGTTCTCGAACCCGTAGGGTCCGCACGCTTAAGGTTACGATGACAGTTATATTACGAGTTTATGCATTTTGATGTACCGAAGGTTGTTCGGAGTCCCGGATGTGATCACGGACATGACGAGGAGTCTCTAAATGGCCGAGACATAAAGATTGATATATTGGAAGCCTATGTTTGGATATCGGAAGTGTTCCGGGTGAAATTGGGATTTTACCGGAATACCGGGAGGTTACCGGAACCCCCCGGGAGGTATATGGGCCTTAGTGGAAGAAGAGAAGAGGCAGCCAGGGCTGGGCCGCGCGCCCCTCCACCCCTAGTCCGAATAGGACAAGGAGAGAGGGGGCCGGCGCCCCCCTCCTTTTCTCTCTCTCTCTTTTCCCACCCCACGAATCCTATTCCAACTAGGAAAGGGGGGAGTCCTACTCCCAGAGGGAGTAGGACTCCTCCTGGCGCGCCTCTCCTGGCCGGCCGGCCCCCCTCCCTTGAACCTTTATATACGGAGGTAGGGGCACCCCCTAGAGACACAAGTTGATCCACGTGATCATATTCTTAGCCATGTGCGGTGCCCCCTTCCACCATAGCCCTCGATAATATTGTAGCGGTGCTTAGGCGAAGCCCTGCGACGGTAGTACATCAAGATCTTCACCACGCCGTCGTGCTGATGGAACTCTTCCCCGACACTTTGCTGGATCGGAGTCCGAGGATCGTCATCGAGCTGAACGTGTGCTAGAACTCGGAGGTGCCGTAGTTTCGGTGCTTGATCGGTCGGGCCGTGGAGACGCACGACTACATCAACCCAGTTAACGCTTCCGTTGTCGATCTACAAGGGTACGTAGATCACACTCTCCCCCTCTCGTTTCTATGCATCACCATGATCTTGCGTGTGCGTAGGAAATTTTTTGAAATTACTACGAAACCCAACAGTGCGGTGGCGCCTTGAGCCCTCTAGCCAATTCTCCACCAAGTCCCTTTATCTGGTCATTGCCCCTTCCTTCCCCCCCCCCTCTCGGCGGTGTGGGCCATCCGCTTGCCATTGAAAATTCGGATTGTCATGTGGTAATGGATCCGCGGTGGGCTCTCGTCGGGGGTGGAGGTTCGCAAGCGCAATGGCCCTGCGACTGGCCTCTGCCCGCTGTGTGGGATTCCAGAAGACTCCAATCACATCTTCTTCTCCTGTGTGTCCGCACAATTCGTTTGGAGCTGCTTTAGACAAGTGGTGGGAGGGGATTGGTGCCACACCAACTTCCCTGACCTCTTTGCCGAACTCCAGAACTCCCCCCTGCCCTCTCGCCACATTAGGTGGCTCGAGATTGGGGCACTCGCATGGACCCTCTGGACCATCCGCAATAGGCTCGTGATTCAGCGCATCCCTCTTCGACGTGCCACTGACGCTCTCTTCAAACTGTCTAATTTCTTGCAGCTCTAGCGGCCGCTTAGCCGCCTTCAGGATCAGGACGCCATCACCACCTTCATCGCCGACCTCCGCTCGAGGGCCGTCCGCTTACCGCCGCCGCTCCCTCCGCTTCCTCCAGAGCCTGATTAGATGCTGGGTGTTGTCATCGACGGCTGCGGCCGCCTTTTCTTTTTTGTGTTTTGGGCTTGTTGAGCTGTGCCCTGAGCAGAACCTTTGTACTTTTGTTATGTCTCTTGGGTGTGTGTGTGTGTGCTGAACTAGTCCGTGTATGTGTGCTCTTAGCGGTTTGCTTTATTTATAAAGCGGGGTAAAAGCCTTTTTTGGTAATGATGCACCATCAATCGGCTGTAGGTCATCTTTTTCTTGTTCACCTGACTTGATCTTCATGTCATATTCAAGTAGAGCATGATCTGCCATATCTATCCCTCGCTTGGGGCCAATCATGTTGATGAGAGAACCCTACAAAATGATTTTATTTAGTAGCTCTTTATAGAAAAGTGAGAAATGTCTAAAGCTAAATACTTCTGTTACGATGTTTCACTTGTAACAAAATTTGATTGAAAGAAGTTTTTAATAATTGATAACCAAGATATTTGTCACATTTCAAACAAGACAGTTATGAGCTGCATAATGGTGATAAGGAAAATTGGTCCCCCAAATTTATTTGACTCTGTTTCAAACCCTCAAAATATACACAATTGTACATAAGCATGTGTGTAATAAAAAGACAAAAGAAAATGACTTGTACTGATGGATTCATTAATGATACTCCCTCGGACCAGGCTTATAAGGCCCAACGCATATTTCGAGATTTAGTTTGACCATCAATGAGACCAATAATATATATGTATGCCACAGAAGGTATAACACTGAATTTGTATTTCAAAGAAATTTCCAACGGCATAATTTTTATGCCATATATCTCATTATTATTGTTTAATTGATGGCCAAAGTAAATCTCGAAATACATATTAGACCTTGTAAACCCAAACAAAGGGGGTATGCATCCTCGTATGTCTGTAAACAAAAGGATATCAATTTCCTGGTGTGCTAAGAATCAGCCAAGAATCCAAAACTATTCAATTTGGATTTGTTTGGGATGTGATACTCCCTTAATTTCATAATTCAAATCTGTTCTCAAACTAAATCATGATTTCATAATATAGTATTGGCTTGTATGATCATAGCGAGAGTTGAGATGGCTCCCGCTTGCTCTGGCGATGGCGACCCGCTCCCCCCGCGCTGGTTGTCGCCCCCGCCGCCTCCCCTAGCTCCGGGGACGCCCCGGCGACCGTGCCCCCTCCCGCTCCACCGGTGCCGTGTGCTGCGCTCGGGCCGCTGCCCCCTTCACGCGCCCCCACCCCTGCCCCCCGTGTCCGTTGGGCGGACCTCGCTGACGAGGAGCTGCTGCCCTCTCCTATCGGCCGCCCCTCTCCCCATCCTGCCACTCCCCGTCGCTCTGCTCAGCCCCCCGCGTGTGGGGTTCTGCCGCCGGCTTGCGGCTGCTGCGGGTGCCGACGCCGCCCTCGAGCTCGTCTCGGGCGAGTGGGATGCAAGGTGTGGCCTTGCAGGTGGGAGGGGCGCGCCGCCGGCGGTTGCGGTCCTGGGGGGTTGTTGGCCGCTCCGACCAGGGCTACGCCCGCTCGTCGTGGCGCCGGCCGGTGGGTAGCGGGTGTCCGGTAATGTCCCCGGCTCTGCCGGCGGCTCGCCGTAACCTGTCCTCCGCGGCACCGTTTGTTCACGCCTCGCCCTTCCGTCCGTTCATAGCTGCCTTCGGGTCCTCCTCGCTCCGCGTCCGAGCTCCCCTTCCCCTGCGACGACCCTGGCTGGCCATCTCCGGCGGCTCATCGGCAGCGTCGGCAGCGAAGCCTGCACCGTGGGGGAAAACCCTACAGGTCGCGGCTCCCCACCGCTCGTTGGACCGTGCCTCGCCTGTGAGGGGCCTCCTGGGCCACGGCCCGGCCCATCTGCTGCTTCCCCCTGCGGGGCCTGCGTCGCCCCGGTTGGGCCAGCAGGCCGGTCTTCGGCCGCCTTCGTGCCCTAGGCCCGGGACACCGGTAGCCTCGATCTGGCTACTGGGTGGCCTCCCGTCCGCCTCCCTCGACCCTGTTCGCGCCTCCCCTGCAACTCTGTCGGACACCTCGCCCTCCCCTCCCTCCCGACCAACCTCTGTTGCCGCCCCTCCCTCGCCGCGGCAGGCTATGCCTCACGAGTGGTATGACGGCGTGGCTCGGCCCAAGCGCCGCGACGAGGGTCGGCGTGAGGCATCCCGTCCCTCTCCCGATGCCCTCCACCGGGAAGAAGAGCTCCGACGTGAGCTACGGGAACTCCGCGAGGGCCGCCGTGATCATCGCTGCTCCCCGGCCCGCCGCGACGCCCGGGGCCGACCCCGCTCCCTCGCTCGACGACTTTTGGGGACTTGAGGTCCCATCGGCGCTCGCCGTCCCCGGCCCCGTGATGTGGTCGTAGCCCCTTCCCGTCTCGGGAAGTGCGCCCCCCGTCTCCCCGCGTCCAAGCTCCAACGTCCGCCCCCGCTGCTCGGTAGTACGTGCTGCCCCATGCCACCGGCCCCTCAGCTCCTGCCCCTGCAGCCATCCCGGCAGCGCCCCTTCCCGCTGCCGCCAAGGCCCCGCCAAGAAGAAGAAGCGCCGCGGCCAGGGCCGTGGCAACCCGGCCACACTCCCCCCGTCTGCCCCAGGCACCTCCTCCGCCCCGGGCCTCGTCTCCAACCTTCCTCGCCCCCCTTGCTTCAATTGTGGGGTGGCGGGCCACTCGCAAGTCAACTGCGTCAACCCCCAGTGCTGCTACCTCTGCAAGGACCCCGGGCATCCCGCCCTCCTGTCCCGGATTGACCGGTGACGTCGGAGCTCATGATGTACGGCCACGGTATCGAGGGGATGGACTTCTTCCACCTCGAGGTCCCCGACCTCCCACCTCCCACCCCCTCCCTTCAGGCGGTCGTCACTGTGGTCAACGGGGTGGCCTCTCCGGAGCTGATTGAGGCTGAGCTCAACCACCTCTACCGTCGCCAGTGGGACTGGGTGGTCACTCCTACCACCGGTCACATCTTCACCGTGGTCTTCCCCGACACCGTGAGCTACGGCTACGCCACTCGTAGTGGCCAGATGACCCTCGCCCTCAACCAGCTCGTCGTCGACATCACCGAGCCGGTCCTCGATGCCAAGGTTGTGGCCGTCCTGGATACCGCCTAGATTCTCGTGGCCGGTCTTCCCGACATCGTCCGGTCTGAGCTCGTCATCCGCCAGATGTCCAGGATTCTGGGCAAGGTGGTGGTGGTAGACGAGCTCTCCCTCCGCAAGGAGGAGGAGGTCCGGGTCAAGGTCAAGTGCTTAGACTCCTCCAAGCTCCGTGTCACCGTTCGCGTGTTCTTCAACGACCAGGGCTTCGACCTCTGGATCGCCCCCGAGCCTCCTAACCACGTCGGCCGTCCCCGCTTCGTCGACGATGGCCTTCCCGGTGACAACCCGGGGGCCGACGGGGACTACCACGGCTGCCACCGCCCCCGCTCCCGCCGATCGGAGGAAGAGGGGGCATCGGATGACTCGCACTCCCGTTCGCAGTCCCGCTCTCCTTCGCCTTCGGCCGCCGGTCGGCATGGACGCCAGGCCGTTCCGGGCCTGCTCCTCGATGCTCCTTCCGGCCTGGTGGCCGAGTCTTCGGAGGCCAGTGACACCTCCAGTGTGGGCCTGGTCGTCTGCCCTGCCTCATCCCCGCACTCCCCCGCTCCCTCTGCTCCCGTCGGGCCGATCCTGGAGACGGTGCCCCCCTGCCGCGTCGCTGGCCCCCGACCCGCCCTCTCCGGTCTCCGCGGGGGTGGCGGCCACCCCGTCTTCCTCCCCTGGCGCTTCACTCACAGCCGCCCCGACGGGCCCTCTCCGCGCCCCTCCACCGACGGCGAGCCTCGATGCCGTTGTGACGGCCCCGGCTGTGGCCTTTCCGCCTACGGTTCCCCCCGTGGCCGTCCTGCCTCCACCGATCGCGATCCCGCCATTGCCCCCGATGCCTCTGGCGGACCCGGCTCCGCTTGTCGACGCCCCTGCTCCACCCCCGACGCGCTCGACTCCGACTCCGATGCTCCTCGGCTACGCTGGGCCAGCTCTCCTGCTCCCCCTCGCGTCGGACCCCGGCACGGATGGGGAGACCCGGGTGACCACCCCCTTGGCCGCCCAGCCTCCCACTCCACGGGCCGCGGCC